GTGTAGAATTTATAATTAGATTGTTGGATTCATAATGGTAAGCTATGAGCTTAAATATCAGCTTAATTATGAAGTTCAGCCCACTGAATAATTTACTGTACAGCAAAATACAAATACATCAAAGTATCATCTTAATCATCTGACATTACTATTGTCACCATATTAATCTCATTCGCAGAGCAGACAGCAATGAGGAAATAACTGCCAGAATAATCTAAAATCAGAGAATGTGTTTATTACAATCCATTAGAATTCACAAGCTTTTTGAACTTTTAGAATTTTTTGTATTTGGCAAATTTAAAGAGCAAGGCTTAGGAGTTCTTGAAAAAATTCTACCCTACTGTGTGGGTCAGGCCTACATTAGGAGAACTGTAAAACCATCCTTACACAATCTGACATCTAAATCCAAAAAGATTTATTTATGGCTAATGTGATATGTAGGATGATAGCCAGTAAATTGGTCCAGAAACCAACCATCTGATTTCTATTCAAAAGTTCCAAAGAATGAAAAATGGAGAATGAGAATAGGATCCAATCAAGAGTTAATATGCTAGAGCATGGGTGTTAAACTCGTCACGTCACATAGCCGTCATGTGACGTATTGCGACTTTTTTTTCCCCTTCACGGAGTTTGGCTGGGCATGGCCTGTGGTGCATCCAGCCCATGGGTCGCAAGCTTGACACCCCTGTGCTAGAGAATTTAAGGCACAAAATAGTCAGCCACACAAGTTCACGAACAGTATTTATAACAAGCTACTTCCAAAGAGATTTCTAGTAAAGATTCTATTAACACCTCCTTTACTCAACTTTTACTCATTAAGCCTGATCTGTTTGCAAGTTCATCTAAATATTCTGTAGATTTTTTTCATGCCCAAGGTTGTCTTCATACATATAAGAACTCAGATGTGTCTCCATCATCTCATATGGCAACTGTACATCTTCCTTTGGGTTAGATACCATCAGTGGATGAATCCAGGTCAGTCTTGACCAAAACAACTTGAATTAATAAAAACTGATTCTGGCTCAAATCCTGTGATAGTTTGGTATAACAGCCTTACTTCTATTATAGTTCATTGCACAGTCAGCCAGATGTTCCAATTGGATTTGGCATTTTTATCCAGCTAGAGTCCTCCCAAGGGCCTGGAATAGTCTGATGTGGATGTCTGATGGTGTTATATGTATCGTCCACAGGTTGTAAGCTGTTTTAAGTAAAGGTGCCTTTTGCAATTGACTGGTGTTGATTTTGTCAATTTCGATGGTGTTCAGGTGCTGCTCCGGGTGTTCTGAGATTGCATCCAAGGCACCTATTAATACTGGTATTACCTTTGCTTTCCTGTGCCACAGTCATTCTATTTCTATTTTGCAGATCTTTGCCTCTTGCTATTTTCTATTATTGTGGTGGTTATTGTTATTTTATATTCTGAAGAACTGAGAAGATACCACAAGACTATCATGCTGATGCTATTTTGCTTCGTCCCAATAAAGATATATTACCCAACTGTGGAATCTACATTTTTCTCATAGCCCAACATGGCTAGAATTCCTTCTTTTGTCTGAGAATAAAGAGGTTTTATTTTAAATGTTTGCTTAGGGTGCTTGATTGTGTTCCAGTTCTATATTGGTTCAAATATTTCTCAATGAAAAACCAAACTACTTGACTCTGCTTAAGAAAAATTGGATTTTTGTTCAAAGGAAAAGAATTGATCCAAACTCAACCTCCTCATTTTATGTGTATGGCGTCATTCCGGATTATGTTTTCTCTTCTATTGTTCCACCTTTGTTCAGACTTATTTTAGTTAGAATCTAAATGCTCAAGGCCCCTTGCTGTAAAATATGCTGTTCATTGCTACAAAAGAAATGCACACTAATAAAAATGCCTCTAGATTGTCCTTTGTCTAGCAACTGACTGGGCCTTTGATTGCCACAGACAGCATCAAACTGAAAGTTAGGAAATGTTTACCAGGAGAAGATATACTATTACAAAGGAAAATGGATTTCTTGCCTAGCCAGAATATTCTGCAGGGGAGGCAGCGAGACCTGTGGATACCCCTTGTCTCTTATGATTCAATTCTTCCGTACACATTCTAGGTCTGACTCTTTTTGGAACTGGGGCAATTTCTCTTGGTCAAGCCTTCCTTCCTGACAGATACATTGCCACCCTGGTGACTGAGACTGCATGCAAATGAAGTGTAAATCACGACATACATACACCCTCCCTTCAAATTATACCAATATTGTATTGCCTTTTGAATACCGTAATCGTGGCTTTTTTCCAATGTACAGTTCTCCGGCCGACCAGCCATTTCTACCTGCCTGCTTGAGCAATCAAAGATCTTATGCTCCTCTCGAGAGATTATAAGGAAAGGTGGGGAGGAGGGAGGTGAGCGTGCAGAGAATGGGAAGCATCAACAAAGCTTTGCCTTTTGCAAGCCACATCTGTAACAGGACTGAAAGAGAGGAGGGCTGCTCTCCTGTATGGAATCCCCCGAACCCTTTGGGACTTTATGAATGGAATAAAGTAAGGCTACATGGTAGGTAGCCTTTGGCAAAATATATGCCAGTGTGTAGATGTATATAATAATTAATAACGGTTGATTGCAAGTATTCAGAAAGACAAACAGAATGCAATTAGACCAGTGTAGCTAAAAGCTTCTTACTCCATCATACCTTTTCACATACATGCATGCTCACTAGACAAATACGTAGAATTGCGCAGAGACAAATACATAAATTCATTCAGGCTTGCACGTTCACATGCAAAATGAGTCAGCTGACCCATCAAATTCCTCACTGCTGCCTGCTCAGCACACTTCCCTGGTTTGGGTGTGCAAGGCTCTTTAAGTTCCCTGACAAAGGGCTTTTTCACCAATAGCACTAAAAGTGCGCTTTGATATATCCAAATATGAAATACATAAATTAGACTACACAGGTCAAAATGCATGTTGGGTTTCAAAATAATTTTCTTTCATTTACTCTTTCTGTCTTTTCTACGTCAAGACAGCACAATCAGGGTCAGGCATTAAATCATGTTTCAGAGTCACTTTGATTTAGCAGCTTGAATGATTACAGTCCCATTCAGGCTTTCATTGAAGAACTCAAGGGACCCTCCACAGTGCTCCTTCTTCTTACTTTTCTGAACAATGAACTAGTAAGGTAGACAGACAGATAGAAATAGAGAATATGGCTGGCTTGAAATTATCCACTGAGTTTGTACGACTAGTCTTTCTGGTGCCATTTCAACTCCTTAACCACCTGCTCACATAGACACTGAATCAAGATTCAAATCCCTATTCCCCTTTACTACTTCAGAGCCTACCTTCTCTTGTAGGTTTGGAGATGTTTTAAATTCCTTAGATGTTCTACAGTTCTAAAAAATAAATCGTGGCACTTTGAAAGCATGTCGCAGCTAAATTCTAATTTGGAAAATCCAGTTAATATGGGGCTTCCCCTCTGCAATTTTTTTCATAGTTCAGTGAGGTTTCTGCAAAAACGAATATACAATTGAAGAGTTGAAGAATTTTAGGAATTATTTGTTATTCATTCTAAGGTTACAAATTAATCAAAAACAATACTTCAGTTTATAGACTATGAAGCTGAGAACCGTGCTATGAAACAAACATACATCACACCTTTAGTAAAACGGAAATAAAGGCAGCTCTACCTATTTTTTTTTTTTAAAAAAACCACGCTGAAAAGGCCTGGTTGTTGTAGAACCACAATACAGTACCTGAACCAGGATCTTTTCTTTAAGTATCCCAATTTTCCACCACTATTACTCTTTCTTACAAGAAGGATTTCAACCCGGCCCAGATACTGTATGCAAATCTTAGCAGACTTCCTTTTTTGGCCCACCATGAAAGAAGTTTCTCCCTGGGCTTTGTGGAACTAGGTGCAAGACAAGTAGGGGTGCAGACCCTTAGTAAGAACCTTTTGCTCCTAAACGGGTTTACAACAAGCCCGTGTTTTGGAGTAGCCAAGCGCTGACTCACAGTACAAACATGGTTGCTGGCAGGAGCCCTGACTGCAAATGCTTTGTGGTCAGAAGGGCTTTTAACTCTCTTTAATTCACTATGTATTGACTTAGCTGTTCTGCTAAAGACACCAGCAACTGAAACTTTGCACAGGGCTGATTCCCTATCGCCAAGTCTCGGGGAGGCGGGGGTGGTTGGGTGAGCAAACTCTTCGTAGCATCAGGAGCCCCGCCAGCCCTTATGAAACCACCCCCACTTCCCAAGATCATCAGAGCCTTCACATTTCAGCATCCCAAAAGAGTGTGTGTGTGTGAACCTCGTCACCTTTCTTTTCAAGCCTCGCGACATGAATGACAATAAAGGGGGAGTAGAGGCTACGCAATATACATATTACCAGTAACACCTTCAGATCGATTCTTTTTTTTAAAAAAAAAAAACTGACCCCGGGTATAATTTCCCCCCCCCCCCCCCCCCCCCCCCCCCCCCCCCCCGCCGCTTTTAATCCTCCTTTTACTTCAACCCACGTCATAAATATGCGATGGGTTGGTTGCAGGTCTGTTTTCTCCGCATCACCGCTATCGCTGCTGCGGATTTGCGAATGCCCGCAAGAGCGTCCCTTACTCGATCCTGCAGCAATTGTGCATTTAAACGCGCACACACAAACTCCGCCACCAAAGGACCTGCCCCCGCCCGAACAAACTTCCCTCTTACAGGGGAGAAACAACAACAACAACAACGGCGGCGGACCAAATTCACACGCACCGCCGCTGATTAAACAAAAACGGTTCTGCAGCCACATTTCATCCCCGTTTCCGTCTGCGGCACGCAGGAGGCGGCGTTTTGGGTCCTGATGTGGAAGGCGTTGCAGTACATGAAGGGGAAATCCTTGTCAGGTTCCCACAGGGTTTCAGACCCCGCAAAATACCTTTGGTCCTGCAGTGCTGTGCGGGGATGATGAAGCCCCCGCTCTACTCTTCTCTTCCCAGTTCCCATGCGAGGCAACCCCTTATAATACGTTGGGAACACTTACCCGCCTGGCACTTCCTCCGCAGCCCAAGATCAAAGCCCTTGCAGCGCTCCGACTAGTTGCAAAATTGCTGCACATTCGCCAGGATGATTAAACCACAATTACGAGAGGATCTGGTGGGAACAGCTTGGAAAGGCTTGGGCAAGCGCTGAGAAGTCAAGTTCTTAGCCTTTTGCAAACACAAACACGCAGCCACACCGAACTGCGGTCATCATGCCAGCCGAGGAAACTAGGGAGCAGGCATATTCCCGCACCGGGGACGCGGGCGGGCGGGCGGGCGCGCGCGGGCTGTGTAGGGGGGGAGGGGGGAGGGGGGGGGGGGGGGCAAATAGCACAGATAAGCATTAAACAGGGCTGAAGGATCCAGGAAGACAGAAGGTTGCACTTTAGAACTAAAAATGAACTGAGGATTAGGTCATGCCTTGAAAAAAAAGCACCTGACGTCATCCTCAGCCAATCAGAGAGGGAGGCTCAGGGGCAGGATGACGTCAGCCTCTGATCCTGGGCTTTGGGTGCAGATTAAAAAGAGACAGGCAGGCAGAATTGCAATTTAAAAGGGGCTAGATTTTTCTTTTTGTGCTTCATTCCCTTTCAGATTTTCTTTCTTTTTTTTGCAAGCTCTTAAAAAGGAAATGGCCCGGTGTTCGGGTGGAGGAAACCGTTGCAGAGGGATTGTGGCAACATAACACAAAACCTCTCGTTCTAAATCTACATGTCATTTATTGTTGCCTTCAGAAGTTGTGGGTGCTCCATCACTGGAGGCTTTTAAGAAGAGATCGTTGGCACATAGATAATCCTGCTGCTGGAAAGAAAAGCTGGAACTTGCTCCCTCTCTCCTTCCCATAGTGCTAAAAGCAAAGGGAAGGTGGATTGATTAGTTGCAAAATGAATTAAGACTTTTTTTTTTTCAACTCTGAATTACAGAGATGGATTGAGTAACCGCCAATAGGAATAATTAACCCTGGCTCTCAAATTTCAGCTATGCCTTTGATCTGGAAAATACCCACCAAATAGTGGCATACATGGCCACTTCTTAGGAGAATAGGCTAGAAATAGGCTAGTGGTATTATACTGCTACTACTGGTAGTTGTATTGCATAATTGTGTAACCCCGTTGTGCTGCTACTCCTGCAATAAACAATAATGCAGGGAATAGTCTCGCACAGTATTTGTTATTTTATTCAAGATTGGCTTGTATTGAGCAAACTACCTGTATTCAATCAGCACCCTCTTCCCATTTTAACTAGTATCCATTCTCTCCTTCGCCATTTCAGATGTTACTCTTTCCTTTCCTTCCTGGGTGATACAAGTCAGAAATATATGCAGTCAGGAAAATTGTATCTGAGATTTGTACACTTAATCCTATAATACTCTTAATCCAAAAGGCAGATAAATAAAAGGGAATGAGTAGATGTAATCTCTCCCAAATTCCTGTCTTGTGTAGGCTACAGTTTAATATATGTCTTTCCCTCCTTATTATAGATACATGGGCTTTTAATAGTAATTTCTGAGGAGAGATGTCTTAATATTATACCACATTCAACCGGCTCCTTACCTGTTCTGAAAAGACATGCCCAAGCTTTTCCGGTTCTCTCTCAGTCATCCATTTTTCCAATAAATGTATATTTTCAAGAAGATGTGCTAGCAATTATGTAGAATTGATACTTTTCAAATCTCACTATAGAAATGTAGGACAAATTATGTGATATATAGATTAGAGCTATCCTAGATTGAAGGGGCTGGATTGAAACTATTTTATTATATATGTTTATTAATCAAATGTATATCACCATCCATCTCACAAGAAATAACTCTGAGAGGCATCTCTCTCTCTCCCCCCTCTATCTATCTATCTATCTATCTATCTATCTATCTATCTATCTATCT